GGAAAATATAAAAAAACAGAAGCAACGATGTGTGATGAGTAATCTGTCTGTTCTTGAGCTTGCATTGTGTCCAGTATTGTTCATCAGGGATGTTGGTGGAAGGTGGTGTTTGACTCCTGTTGTGGTGGATGGTAGGGTTGGCATCTCCGCCTTGTCTCCGTTGTTATTGATCTGGGGACAGAGGCAGCAGGACTCTTCCCCTGTAAAGCACTTCCATTGAATTGGCTCTTCTGTGTCACAGTGCATGTGTCGAGCTTGCGAACGGTACGTTGTGGGCGGTGTGTGACGTCTTTTAGAAGCTACGCTGCGATATCAGGCACTGAACACAAGAGGGGTTTCATCATTATGTTCATATAAGTTTCTCAGACAGAAAATCATTTGCAATCTCTCTTTACTTTTTGAGTTTTTCATTTTTCTGTCTTCAGTTTGACAAACTCAGTCTTACTGCAGCCTTCCAGTACCTGAAGGGGCCTACAAGGAGGCTGGGAGGGGACTTTTTACAAGGGCCTGTAGTGACAGGACAAGGGTTAATGGGCTTAAATTGAAAGTGGGGAGGTTTAGATTAGATATCAGGAAGAAGTTCTTCCCGGAGAGGGTGGTGAGGCACTGGGACAGGTTGCCCAGAGAAGCTGTGGATGCCCCATCCCTGGAAGGGTTCAAGGCCAGGCTGGATGAGGCTTTGAGCAACCTGGTCTAGTGGAAGGTGTCCCTGCCCATGGGAGGGGGTTGGAACTAGATGATCTTTAAGGTCCCTTCCAACCCAAACCATTCTATGATTCTATGATCTTAGCCAATGAAGCATTTTCAAGAAAGAAAAATCTCTGGAGAAATGTAACTTATTCTAAATCACTAAGTGGCCATATAAACCTGGTGATGCACATGTAAGTCTGGACAACACTAAGAACACAAAGTTGATTTAACATTTTCATTTTCTAAATTAATGGGTTTGTCTTTCTCCCCCCCCACCCCCCAATATGGGATTTAACTGTCCTTCTATGTTCAGTGATTAAGTAACTGAGGATCCAGAATAATGGAGAGAGAGATTTTGTAGAAATAGTTTAGGAAAGACAGTGCTTTCAAATTTGCATATTGGTATTTGCATATATACATATTACATCTTATAGATTTCATGACAGATTTTAAGAATAGAGATGATGTCCTGCTCTCTCCCAGGTAGTCTTGGTTTGCTTTTGACCTTTTCCATTGCATTTGTTTCTAATGCAAATTCTGAGCTTGTGAGGATGTGCATGGGTCTGGCTTCCAGTTCTGCCCAATCCAGGTGAGGATGGTGGTGCTGGTCAGGTCCTCTGAGAAATTTTACTCATGTTGTAGCACTGAGGAGCATCAGGGTTTGGGAGAACTGGGTCCGTACTGAGTGAGCCGACTACTGCTTTTTGTGAAACTGCCAACATCTGTCAGTACTGATAAATATCTATTTTATTTTACTTTTAAGGTACATTGTTCTTATGACATTACAAGACAGGAACGAGAAGCTTTTTTATCGAGTGCTGACCTCTGACATCGAGAGATTCATGCCCATCGTTTACACCCCAACGGTTGGCCTGGCTTGTCAGCAGTATGGTTTGGCTTTCAGGAGACCACGGTGAGTGAAGAGACTGTTCTTGCATCTTTTTTTAATTTCATAGGAATTGTTTCTTTTGTACCAACAGTCCATCTTTATGTGGGTGGCCTGAAACATCTACATCTCCATCCCTCATCAAAAGATGGACGAGCAAGCAGCTTCGTGTGTGTACATTTGATGATGAGCTGGGGAGTCGAGCGTAGCTCTGCCTTCTTCCTATCACCAGCTAACAGAGTGGTTTTGTTCTCAAACAGTACTGCACAGTCTGTGCAGCTTAGCTCCGAACGGCATCCTGAACTTAGGGCTGCCCCCTTCCCATCTGCCATCTCAGGAGCACTGAGTGCCTTCTGCAGTGCAGGCGTCTGTGTAATTGTTGGGTTTTGGATATGTTGTGCTGATTTTGAACTTTTGTCTGCGCTTCCACAAACCACCCTGCAAGAATCATGTTCATAGGAGGTGATGCTCTGCATCAGTGCCTTGCTTGCTGCTCAGAACAGTTACTGTGTAAATTCATGCAACATTAAACACTGTGTACTGCGTTGGAAGGCCCTGTTGTGCATAACTCTTTTTAATGATTAATGTTTAGATAAAGCCCTCATTAGCATCCTGAAAAACATTTAGTCCTAGCCTGAAAATCCAATGGTAAGGTTCAGTTTTCTCTGCAAGCCTTTTATTTTTTTGTCCTTGAAACGTACTGGTAGGCATTTGCTTTTGCTTTAGAAATATGCAAAGAAGAGGAATGAAATAATACTGGTTTAAAGCATGAGGTTTAAGTGCAGTTTCAGCTGAGAGTAATGTGATAGGTGGGGAAACTGAGGCAAGTTCTGCTAACGGACACAAGTTCACAGGGGGACCCTGAGACAGACCTCGAAGATGCCAGGGTTAGATAGACAGATAGCGAGTAACATATTATGGATAAGATTATCATGGCAAACACGCTTGCATCCTGCTCATCATCAAAGTTTCTAGTAAAGCCACTGTGTCCTTCACATGAGCTGCTCCTCAGGATTGCTTTTGGGCTTGTGTCTGTCCCAGGTATTTGTGTTCTGTTCCTGGATACCCAGCGTCTGGATCTGCTGGGCTGTGGTGAAGTCATTCATCTAGTCAAGCCTTGCTCATATCCCCTCCTCCTTGTCAGTGGAAACCAGAGGAAACCAGAGTAAGAGGTTTCCAGCAGGAGGAAACCAGAGAAGGAATTGCTCTTTGTACAGGGGGAGGACACTTACTTTTTCTGGGCAGGGGAAAATGCAGCAGAGATCAGAGTGCGCAGACCATGCCTGGGTGTTGAGCTGCGAGCACTGTGAGGCAGGGAAGAGCAGCATGCTGCTGGTTCTCAGCTCATCAGGATTCACAGCCGGCAATTCCTGCTACTGCATCTCTGCCTTCAGTCTGCCTTCACCTTGTGAGAAGTTCTAACAACATTTGGGAGCTTCTCCTCTTTTATTTATCATCCCTGTTGTTATCCTCAGGAATGCAGGGGTTTCAATCCATTTGCTAGGCTCTTTCTGCAGTTGTTGCTGTTGGAGAATTCCCCTTCCTGTGATCCTCTCCCTTCTCGTGTTTTAAACCCACAGTATTTTACCGATGTGGGAAGAACATCCGTTCTCGTAGTCTGACGGTTTTGCTGCTGAACTTGGACTTGGAGCTGTTGTGGATTCCAGCCGATGGCTTCTGCAGGAAAGGGCAAACTATCATTCCCTTAGTACACTGAATTTCCTACGGCTGGGAGTTTATTTCTCTGAAGACGTAGAGTGAATTTCAGCCTACCTCAAATTTGGTTTTAATCCAGGTTGTTTTAGCAAAAGAGTGTTTTTGTTGAAGAAAGAAAAGAGCTATTATATCCTGTAAAGTGATGAGATTAAAATGAAAAGCTTTCATATGTGCTTTTTTTTGTCAGTCTGACTTTTACTGTCTGGCAGTGTATATCTTCTCTTCTGGAGCATTTTAGGTACATCAGGAACTGGCCTGCAAGACACTTAGTTCAGGGTAGGATGCCAACACTTTCTGCTAAAATCATGGGGACCTGTAGATTTGGGGAGCTCAGGAAGCTCTTCCCTGCTTGTTATCCTAAGCTTCACTGACAGTCTGAAAAGGTGATTCTTCTTACCTAATTGCATTTGTATCAGAAGGTTTTTAAAACAAAATGACACCCACGTAAATATATTTCACTGTTGTTTTGGGAAGAACATAGCACTTAGAACTGGAAAGGATGTCCAAGCCATTCAGTTTTGCTCTGCTGTCACAGGAAGCTTTATCATACAATCCCATTCACTAACTGTTTATGTTTTATTTTACAACTGCAATAAAGCTGCCCTATGAAGCCAACTCCAGTATAACTCTCACATAAGCAGAAAGTGGTTTTCCCCTAGTATAGAACCTAAATGTTCTTTGCCACCGTCATCTCTACAGTAACCTTTTCAGGGTACAAAACTGGGGTCGTGTTCAGCCTGATGGTTTTCCTGCCTGGAGTGGTGGCTGTTCTGTCCAGGTTGTCCCACTCTGGAGTCTCACGTTTTGCTACATTTCTCCTGAAATGCACCACAGAAGGGCGAGCACCGCTCTGCCACAGAGAACTGGCAGTGCCAGGGAAACTGGAGCGGTTAGATTTTAGCTTTTGCGAGCATGTCCTAGCGTGCCCTTGCCTTTTTCAGTGTCATCTGAGTGGTCTGGTCACTGTAATTCGTTTTGTCATCTTCTCCCTGTGAATCTCTTCTTTGACACAATTCCACCACCAGATATGTGCCACTCCATAATTGCGCTTAGCGCTTCTCCTCGCTACGTGTCCTGCTGTGAACTCTGTCCTCTCGGTTTTGGGTCATCTTTCCACTGAACCCAAGTTTTTCCAAACCTGTCCTTGGGAGTACCACGCTTCCCAGCCCAGCTTTGAGCAACAGGGAGCTTATTTGAATGCTGGCTGCAGCAATTCCCATTTCATCCAAACTGTCACATTTAATGCTCTTGATCAGGCAGGGGATTTAAGATACCTCGGTTGTAAAACACCACACGGTGCTCCAGCGTGGATGGACGTGCACAAACAGCACAGCTTACGGTGAGCAGGGCAGTCTACAGAACATTGTGCAGTCTTTCTGTGGCCACAGCAACAGCAATTAGTGACCTGTGGACACAATAAGCTTCTTCCCTGTGTTGAGATCTCTCTCAGCCCCATTAGTTCTTGGCTTTATATTTGGAGGTTGAGCCTGGAAAGATTAAACACAACTAACTTGCTTACAAAGCAACTTTTGTACAAGAATGTCTAAAAATAAGTCCTACGAGGTCCAGCAGAGCTTCTCTCATCAGAATGCATGTGTCAGTGTTCGCATGGCTGCAGGTTTTGTTTGCCAGATACTGCTGTCGTAATTGCAGGGCTTGATGCCCCTTTTACCTTTCCTGGTGTCTGTGTACAAACTCTTAAGGATGGACATTTTACCTGCGCTTCTGCAGGGCTGGTGTCTGGAGTTCTCCTCCCAGGTCAGGGCTTTGGCATCCTGTTTGCTCCACATAGGATCAGACACCTGCTGTTCTTTCCTTTCGAAAAGCTGCCCAACCAGCAGTCTAAAACCACAGGTTTTCTTTCATCCACCTCTTGGCATGCTCGTGTGTGATGCCCATAGGCCCCCCACTTCTGCTGGTGGGCCAGGCAGAGCTACTGCCACTCCAACAGGTTCCTAGCTCTGCCTTCCCCAAAATCCTATTGCCTTTCTCTTCAGGAGTCATTTTAAATTCTTCAAGCAGGCTTTTCTTTTTCTGTGGCTTCAGACTTTTTCCTATGTGATGAAGACGCAGGATTTTAGAACAACTGGAAGAGTGGTGGGGGCATCAAACTATTAAAAACTACATTCTGGCACTGTCCTCTAAGCTCTGAAGTTTTTGCTGGAACATGTCTATGTTGAACAACATTTTTCCTATCTTGTTATGCAGACAGCTCCCTGCTGAGTTAACAATATTTGTTTATTCAAGGTCATGCAATAAGTCTTAAAATCTACAGCCCAAAGTGCAGCGTCACTTTATATTTTTTACTTTTAAAATAAAAAATAAAAATTATTGCATAATCTGTAAGTACAGGTTGAAGTACCAAGCAATTTCACCTCTGTCACACTTATGATAATGCCCCTGTCAAGATTTCTCTCTTCTGTCATCAGACCACGTTAAATAAGCACAAGAGAAGAGTGATTGTCCAAAGAGAAGTCTTCCTAGCCACAGACCTTGTCTGCAGCGGTGGCCAGTACAGGTACCTCAGGAGGAGAGTAAGACTAGGGTAGGCAAATATGCTCACTTCTTGGGGACGTCTCACGTTCTGCTCCTCCATAGTTTGTGCCTCAGGGTCTTGCAGTTGTAGTTCTGTTACCCAAAATCTGCTGCCAGATTTGTCTTCACAAGTTCTGGAATGGTTGTGAGGGAACACAGATGTACACACGTTGTATGTTGCTGGAATAGTGTCCCTAGGTGACAAGGTTTGGATCAGGTGTAGGTGTAATTCCAGATACTCAAGGGAGGCCCAGATTTAAGGGAGATTTCTTGCAGAGTTGTGCAGCTTCACACCCTATGGCTGCATGTACACAGCTTTGCAGCCTGTCTCCTGCGATCCAGCCCTGGTTATTCACTCCTCCCTTCCACCACCCCAGCGCCTCCGCAGATGTCCGTGCAGCTGTGCAGTGACCTGGTTCAGGAATCAATCTAGGAGGATCCAAGTCAATTTTTGAGCCAGGCTGGTGGTAATTCAGACAGCCAGTCTGCCAGCTGCCACAGGAGTTGTGCTGACATGGTGAAAGGGATGTGCAGAAGCAGGAGCAAGGCATGGGGAGGGCAGGTTTCCTGATGTTAAGGGGCAGTGATGCCGTATTGTGTCTTCATGCAAGGGACGGGTTAGCCGAGTGCTAAGGAACATGGTCTTGGAAGTTTTTGCGTTTCAAAGCCCAGGGATCCTTTATCCTCATCATGAATTTGTTAGGGGGAAGGACTGAAATGTAACAGAGCAGGCCTTGCAACTTTCTGAGACACTAAATAGGGAAGGAAGGAGGAAT